CTGCATTCAAACAAACCTTTTCTAACTCGAACATAGGTTTTGTGTTAGGCACCTCTACTCCAACTTCGAGGCGGTTCAAAGGGGAAAACTCAAGAATCGACTTTGGGCTTGTGCAAAGGGCAAGTACAAGTGCCAAGATGGAATCAAGAGATGGACAAAATGAAACTACTCAACAAAGATGCCCATGCTTGGTTAGAGAAAATGGCCCCAAACACTTGGGTTAGGGCATTTTTTAGTGAGTACCCAAAATGTGATATTTTGCTGAACAATACCTGTGAAGTGTTTAACAGGTACATTTTAGAAGCTAGAGAACTTCCTATCTTAAGCATGCTGCAAAGGATCAAGGGACAGCTCATGGCCAGACACTACAACAAACAAAAAGAAGTGCAAGAGAAATGGGGAGGGATGCTGATCTGTCCAAAGATCAGGAAGAAATTGGCAAGACATGCAGAGATGGCCAACACATGCTATGTAATACCAAGTGGGAGTGGTGTATTTGAGGTTCATGACAGGGAGTGGCAATTTAATGTAGACATTGGAGGAAGGCATTGCGATTGCAAGAGGTGGAGCTTGACAGGTATACCCTGCAGTCATGCAATTTCTTGCCTGAGGCATGAGAGGATACCTGAGGAGTCAGTGCTGCCCTGGTGTTACTCTACTGAAGCTTTTAAGAAGGCATATGGATGCTACATTCACCCATGCAATGACAAGTCCACTTGGGAAAAGGTTGGTGGCCCACAAGTTCAACCACCTGTGTATGAAAAAAGGGTTGGAAGGCCACCTAAAGCTAGAAGGAAAGCAGCACATGAAGTTGGTGGACCAAATGGGCCAAGACTAACCAAACATGGAGTAACCATGCATTGTAGTCACTGTGGAGAACCTGGGCACAACTCAGCAACCTGTGAGAGAAAGAAAGCAGGAGAACCAGCAGTGAAAAAATCAAGGAAGAAAGCTAGTCCATCTGTGCTAGATCAACATTCCAGCCAACAACCTGCCACTGTCCAGGTTTGTGCAAAACCAACCAAATGCTTAATTGGATGACATTATATGAAACTCATTTGTAACTTTCTTTAGGAGATGAACCTGCAAGAAAGTGTAACACAACCACTTATGTCAACTTTGGAGAACCCAATGGTGTCACAACTGCAAGATGAGGCAACACCTTCTTCCCAGCTCCTAGCACTATTTTTTTCTCCTGTGTAAGACTAATAATTGAATCCCATTGTTGCAGGCTGCCCAAGCTGTGAGGCAAACTGCAGTGAGGCAACCTATTCCAGATTGTGCCTACATCAGCTCCAATCTCCCACCAGCAAGACACATGCCACTTACAACAGCATCCAAGATTGTGAGGGCCAGCAGGGTACCTGCAGAGAAGAAGAAGGCAGCCAAGGCCAAATCCAAGTCCAAGAAAGGGACAAATGGAGAGAAGTGAAGACAGTGTGGTGTCTTACTTTTGTGTAGCAGCTACTGTTTCTTTTGTACAGCAGTGGGCTGCCTTTTGTCAAGCAGCTAAACTTGCCTTTTGTGCAGTGATCATAGATATATAGATCATTTGCAATGCAAACAGTAGGGTGGTAGAAGGAATGGCCTAAACTATGGTATGTAACTGCAGTGACTGATGGTCAAAGAACTAATGGCCTAAGCTATGATATGTAACTGCAGTGACTGATTTGACAATGAAATTCCAGTGATCTGGTCTATGTCACTATGTTATCAACTTCTGTCATTTGCTGCAAGAGAATTGCATAAAAGCTAATTGAAACATACTTGCATTGATACAAACTCATATTCCATTCATTGAACATGAACATGGTTATTACAGCTTGTAAACTGAAACATACTTGAACACATGGTTCAGTAGAGGTACTAAGCTGCCACTTCTACTTGAAAAACATGGTTATTACACCCAGAACAAGAAAAACAGCAGCAACTACAAGGCACACTGCTACAATTTTTCCTAGGTCTACCAACTTCTGTAGCTTTTCAGCTACTCTATCACTTCCATTCTTCAGAGACACTACATCAGCAAGCAAAGGTGTCAATTCAGTCTTGTTTGCTTCCACTACTCCCTCTAAGCGTCCAATTGCAATCTTGATCTGCTCAACTTCATTCATGGAATCCTCCTGCCTAATGCCGGCGTCAGTAGTCCCTCTCTTCTCCACCAATCCCTTGGCAATCAGCAGCTTCTCATACTTGTCGGCAAACAAATACCAAGGGCAAGTTGTAGAGTCCTGCAATTTGTACAGTAAGACTACAACAAGAGTATCATCGCTGTTGAACAGGGAGGGAACAATTGAAGAGGTCGGCACTTGCATCTCTCTCATGGAGCCGGCACTTGAAGAAGATGGCCCCCGGGACCTTAGATCCTGGACCCGAAGTGAGCTCGAGGATCTCCTCGCCGCATTTAGGGCACGGCACAAGGGGCAGCCCAGTGCGCATGCCCAATCTCAGGGGCCCAACCCTCTGCGCGGATGACGAGCTACCGAGCGACATCGCTGACTGCGTGGAGGCGCTGCGGACCGAAGAATGCGGGTGCGGGCGGCCGGACCGGAGATAGCGGCCGCGGGCGGCGAGCAGCAAGCGGCGGGCGGCGAGCAGCCTGAAGAAGATTGGGGAAGAGAAGGCCGGAGTACCAACTAATGAACAGAACATTGGCGGGGGCTTTTCTGCTAAATTGGCATGACCTCGCCCTTCATCTGCCACTCTGGCACGGCCACGTCGGATTATGTGGCTGACGTGGCTGCATCTGGACACTGCGTGTGCCGCGGAAATAAATCAGGGACCTAGATAGTTGGTTTAATAGTTTGAGGACGTAGATGGGAAGGAGCCAATAGTTTGAGGACCTACAGTGCATTTTACTCTATAATTTCCTATTTGACACTTGCGCACCTACTTCTTGACAACGACAAGGGCAACAAATAATTTGAATGGTCATTTTCATGCGTTTATAAAATATAATTATATGGATATAGCTACCTATAATAAAAAAAGTCACACGTGACATTGAGGTGGTACCTATAGACACGCTATAAATTTCAACTATGCCGGCCGTACTAACCATGCATATATGTTGATATGCCTGTGTGGTTCTGATCGCTTCTGTCCCTTTTAGAGATTTTATTTCTTTATCGAGTGCTTTTTTTACACTCGGTAAATCCGTTTTTTGCCGAGTGTTTCTTTTTTATACTCGGCAAACCTCATCTTTTGCCAAGTGTGTTTTTTTGTCGATTGTTTTTAGCGCAGCACTCGGCAAAGAACTTATTCGCCGAGTGCCGAAGGGATACACTTGGCAAACATAAAAACACTCGGCAAATTTGAGGATTCCGGTAGTGTTTACTCAAAACATCATTCAAACCTGTTCCGCAGTAATTCCAACTTGGAGCTTGTTTGGATGCCCTCGCATCTAACTCAATCCATGTGTTAGGGTGTAGTGGCAAAGCCTAGAGCAAAATAGAGGATGGTAGATGTGGAAATTTAAGCAATAATCATGATAAAAATTTGATCCTAATAAAGGTTTTTCAAACTTTTATGGGTGCATCCGCACCCACAAGCATGAACGTTCGGCACTGTTATGGTGGATTTGGAAAATTTGCTACAGGACATCGTTAAAATATGTAATATACTATGGACACCGCAACGAGCGAAATTTATCTAGTACTGTTACATAATCGCATGCATTTGCCATAGGAAAAAGTCTACTTAACCCCCCACCTTTCATACATGGTCTACTTCACCCCTAACTATGAAACCGTCTGTTTTACCCCCTGAACTTTCTAAAACCGTCTATTTTATCTCCCGGACGGTTTTCAGCGGCGGGTTGCTACAGTAACAGCGGGTTTGCTACCGGTGGTTTTGAATTTTTTTTATTTATTTTCGATGAATTTTTGAAAAATCATAGTAAATCATAGAAAAATCATAAAATGAAAAATCTAATTTTACTGGACTCCACATGAGTAGATCTACACAGTGAATATATAATACGGTATGTTTTAGTACAAAATTTTTACTGTAGCCTTAGATTAATTAGAAAAATTTAATTTTGTCTGTAATTAATTGGAATAAAAAAAATTAGATTTTACGCTAGCTGCTTCAAGAGTGGCAAGATGTACCATTTTCTCTTTTTTTTTGGAAAGTACACTACATTGCATATACATGTCTCACTTGTTGAGCTATATATTGTTTTATATTTTCTTCTTGTTTTCTCAGACACGCTAGCTGCTTCAAGAGTGGCAAGAAGACACGTAGCTTTACCTATGTATCTAGATATAATATATATTAATATATATATCTAAGTATTGTAATATATCTAGAAAATCTAGAATGACTTACAGTTTGGAACCGAAGGAGTACCTATTTAATAACTTTTTGCTGGCTGATTCTCGACAAATAAACGATCTGTGTCGTGATGTAGTGATAGATTGAGAATGTTTCCTACTCCTATATTCTTTAGCCTTCAATGTTTTTCTTTAAAGAAAAGAGAACACATTAAAGCGTCAGTCTAGTGTATAACAAAGAAGGAATAAACAGATAGATACAAAAACGAAAACATATAACAACACTAGCCCACAATCGCCAACATAATATTAGTGACCACACAATAAGCCAACACAACCAGAACTGCTAGCAAAACAAGAAAAATTAATGGGCCGTTGTAGAGCCTCAAGAAAAAGTTGTACCCAATAAACAAGGATTCCAACATCTTTTTACATTGGAGTTTTTACAATGGAGTTTTATAAGTAGAGCAGGACACGGCAGAAAATCAAGATCACAATGGGCATCTAGGTTCACTATTCAAACAATGTCGCATGGACCAAACAAATAGCCTGTCCTATTTCCCATGACTAATTTCTGAAAAAGTCCTCCAAATGTCAGGGTTAGATTGATATTGCCACAATTTGCTAAGATACTCGATCCCCTTCTAAAACTTCTTTGCTCTATGTCCATGTTAACCCATCTATGAGATGATTCTGGGATGTCACACGCCCAGAAGTACAAGCTTTTTAGTCCAAACATGTTACTGGACTTGGAGTTACTTCATTGCCAACCAGCTTACTATCCTTCAGGATCTCATCAATAGTCTTGTTGACTATGCTATCTCTGGCCTAATAAGCAGTTGAAGACAGGTCTCAGGAATACTTTCTAGACAGATAAGTTTATCAGAATCCATGAGAAAAGAAAGCAAGCTCACCTTTACTCCAATGGCAAGCGCTGTTCTGACATTCACCACATGACCTAACCTTAGTGAGCCTCCCTTGTTGTCCTTCACGCACAACACTGGTACCTGCCTTGTAGATGCTAGTGTTGGTATGTGTTTTGTTAACCATTTGGGGTTGCAGTCAGCAGCTACAAGGACAGCCTGCAATGTTGCATTAATAAGATAAGAAATATTTGTCAGTTTCAGTGTTCGTCACAAAAACTGTGGTCATCGATGTATGTGACACTTGAAATCGCCCTTTTTCTTGGATCTTGATTGAACATGATCAACATGTATCCTTAATTGGCTCATTTTATTGTTGCGTATGGAGCTGATAGAGAATAAGCTATACATGGTAAAATAAAACAGTTTAAATGACTTCGTTTGAACTTCGGAGAAGGCGGCATATATTTGATGCAAGAATTGATTATTAAAGCTTTATATCACAGTATGAAACAAAAGATAAGTTGGAGGTGGCCAAAGTTCAAGAAAAAATTACTTGATGTCTTTCTCTTTGATAAAAACAAAATGGTACAATATTGTGCAGTTAATCCAGTACATGCTGCGACTAAGAAGCCACTTCCTTCCACCTCATATATACACACAATAGAAATGGAAATACAATTCCATTGTAGACTGCCTATAGACGTACACCAGCAGCAAACCAGGAAAGAAAAATGAACCTGCAATGGCACCAAAGGAGCTTGACGTCGGCCTGAGACAGTTGGTGCTTCACTAGACCTTTGAGTAGAATGAGAAGCAGTAACAGAATGCGGCATTCGCTCGAGAACCCGTGTGACATCATTGACCCCGATAGCAAATTGTTGCTGCAAGTTGAAACAGTCATAAAATGCAAGGAAGAGAGAGAGAAGCTGCATTCTACTGAGCTTGCTCAGGAGAACAGAACAGACTGCCAACAATGACGGTAAAAAGCTGGTGAAACCAAGGTAAGGATAATGATACCTTCATCCATATCTTTTCTGGTAAGCCTCCCCTTGAAGCCTTGGCACTCTCCACACTCCTACAGAATAATGAAGAATACATTTTACGCCCTTGTCAACATGAGAATGAAGCAACACAGAAAAACAAAAGGCGAGAGAATAGCAGGTGCTACCTGACAAGCTTCGATAATAGGTCATCAAGATCGTCTCCTCTGATGAAATCTGAGGCTAATCTGCTCAAGGACAGAACAGTAAATGAATTAGCAACAGAACAATAAGCAGCAGCTGCGTGCATCACAAATCGTAACTGGAGAGACTAGTAAAATGACAATTGGGCAACACTCTTACACTTGTTCGCTGTCTTTCAATGAGTTGGCTGGATTCAGAGACTTCCTCTTCTTGCTCATCGGCAGGCGGGCTCAGAATTTTAAGGATGGGTATTCAAAATACCAAGGGCTGCCAAAAAAGAAATTAACAGCCTAAAACCTAATAGCCGCCCGAGCCAGATGCGGCCGCCGCCCCAGCGCACGCCGTTGCAGCCGCCACGCGCCCTCGCCGGAGTCCCGCCGCCGCTAGCCGCTAGGGTTTGGGGAAAAGTAGCGGGCAATGTCGCGACCGCGCGTGCGGCGTCCGTGCTCTGATGTGCGGCGTGAGTGACAGGGACCTGGCGGAGTGGCGGGGAGAAGTTGGGCCACCGGACACTGGGCCTTCTTGTTGGGCCATCGGTAGGGAGGGAGAGAGCGCGCTTTTGTTTTGTTTTGGGCTGAATTCGTGAATTCCATGTGATTTTTATGTTTTCAAAACAATAATATATTATTGAAATGAATACCTTTAAATACAAGCGGGCCCGCCAGCCAAACAGGAGCTAGCTGACGAGAGGCCGTTGCTAGGAAAACGAGAAGTGTTCAGTCTCGGTTCGGGCTGCCTAGGTCTTTCCCTTTGTTCATTATTGTGCAATCAAGGCCCATTCAGATGGTTCCTTGAGCATTGGATATTTGGATAGCAGAATGCAGAAATGGTTGCAACCCATCACCACCTCTCCAGTTTCCGAATTCAAACGCATCGGCTTCGCGCAATGCCATTAGTCCAAACCGGGGTTAAATTTTCACTTTTCAGGATACACAAGTTAGCCCCATTTGTCAGTTCATCCAAAGTATACCACCGCTCCGGAATAGACCATAAAATCGACCGCCCGACAGCCGTAGGATCAAGCAAATGCCGGCCATTACTAGCAACATTATAGACCCGAGTCATCAGTAAGAGTTCAACCATGGCATTTTACAAACAACCAAAGCCAAAATACAAGGATGTTAGGGGCTGGTGCTGCTGCAACCACGGTCTGCCCAAGCGCCGAGTCCAAACACGACCTACAAGCCAACGTAAAGTCGTGACCGACCCGTACCTTGATCTGGTGCCGTCCCTCAGAACCTCAGATCCGCCGAGGCTGCTTCGTGCTGGCCCCCGGGGCTGGGCATACCCTCCTCCGTGGGCGTGGAGGTGCTGGGCCGCTTGAGGAAGCCGTCCAGTGTCTTCTGCTGCTTCGAGGGGCTTGGTCCCAAGCCGTCCAGTGCCTTCCGCAGCTTCGAGGGACTTGGCCTGCAATCAATCTGGGAAACGTCCAGCGTGTTGGTGCTGGGCCGCTTGAGGAAGCCGTCCAGTGTCTTCTGCTGCTTCGAGGGGCTTGGTCCCAAGCCGTCCAGTGCCTTCCGCTGCTTCGAGGGACTTGGCCTGCAATCAATCTGGGAAACGTCCAGCGTGTTGGTGCTGGGCCGCTTGAGGAAGCCGTCCAGTATCTTCTGCTGCTTCGAGGGGCTTGGTCCCAAGCCGTCCAGTGCCTTCCGCTGCTGCGAGGGACTTGGCCTGCAATCAATCTGGGAAACGTCCAGCGTGTTCTCCTGCCCGTCCAGCATCTGAATGAATTGACAAAACAAAAACAAGATTGTTGCTTCCTTAGTCCAACTCAACTCATGGCGTCAATCATGGTTTTTTTAAAAAAAAAACTCAGATGCCGGTTTGAGAGATACAGAACCTGCCCCAGATTCTCAAGTTTGCCTTGAACAGCATCCCTGGGAAGCAAAACCAGAGCAACAAAAGACCTATGCTGAGTACATGACCTAAATCGCCACATTTAGTACGGAAAGCAAAGTTCAGGACATACCACATAAGATCATCTACAGTACCGTTCGCGAGAAGATAATATACGTTGACTGATGAAACCTGGAATCATGAAGAAAATAAGAATGCGTCTGCTGTTATAAGTGGAACATCAAATTATCAACTGAAAGTATATTAATATTCAAAGAAGACTTCAACAATAAAATCACAGTACCATTGTCATGTGCGGACGGACGTACGCAAGGCGCAGGCGCGCCCGCGACGTACGCCGCGCGGCTGAGCGCGCGGTCCACCAGCCCGAAGGGGCAACTTCCAGTGGCCAGAAATCAGGGATTGGATTAGAGGCTGTTTTGGTTAGTCCTATAATTAGGGGAATTCCTTCCATAGTTGGTTGAGCCATTGGCTATTTATTCCTGTAAGCAGGGAAGAATGAATTAAGCAAGATTAATCTCCTATTCTCTTCTTCCTCCACGCCTCCTAAGCCCGGCCCGGTTGAGAGGGGTATAACCTCCATACTGGAAGACTCATTAGGAGACTACGAGCCAGAGTCGAGGGGCCACTACCCTAAACTACTGAGTGCCCTTGACAACCTGGTATCGAGTCTCGTCGATCCTCTCCCACCCGCTCCTCCTGTTCCCTCTTCATGACCGCCCACCCAATTCGCCAAGCACACCCCATCGCCCTCCTCGGCCGCGTCCGTCTCCCTCGCGCCAATCATGGCCGAGCCCTCCGCAGCCGACCTCATGGCAGCCATCAAGGCCCTCACCGACGACATGGCTACCATGAAGGCCGATATGGCCTCGCTGAAGAAGGAGAAGTCCGAGTCGTCCCATGGTGGCGGGCGGTGGCGATCGGCGCTTGCTGGAAGGTCAAGACTCGACTACCCGCCCAAGCACAAGAAGTGGGATTTCCCACGCTTCGACGGCACCACCGACCCCATGCTCTTCCTCAACAAATGCGACTCCTACTTCCGCCAACACCGTACCATGGCGGAGGAACGCGTGGTGGGCTTCCTACCACCTCGACGGCGTCATGCGGTGTTGTGGTATACCGGCTCGAGGAGGACTCGCACGCCCACTGGCGCGCTTCAAGGAGTTCCTCAACTCGCGTTCGGGCCCCGCTCCGATTGGCGCCATTGTTCGAACTCATCGAAAGTGCCGCGCAAGACGGCACCGCCGAGAGTACTCAACCGTTGCCAGCGCTCGCCTCGGCGGGTCGGTTTGGGACGAGGAGCAGCAAGCGTCGGCTCTACCGGCGGTCTCTTGGCGCCGTTCAACCATGCTTGTTCGCCTCCACAACCCCGACTTCGCTCGCTTGCCGCCATGAGCATCGCGCGCGGATCAGTGATGAGCCGATGAGCGCCCGCCGCCGCCTGCGCCACGCAGCGCTGCGCGGGGCATCTGCCGCGCGCCGCTCGCCGCTTCGCCGCCACCACCACCCTACCGGCATTGCACTGCACCGGCGGCCGCAGCGGCCGGGCCACGGTGACGGAATCGCCGCTCTCGCCCGAGGAGAGATGGTGGCGCCGCCGTCTCGGTCTCTGTTTCAACTGCAACGAGAAATACACTCGCGGCCATAACCGTTTTTGCAGGCGCATCTTCTTCCTGGAGGGTGTCGAGATTGACGACGTCGCGATCGAGGCGGCGGCGGCCGCGCCCGACGCCGAGGCCCCCTTTTTCCCCTTCGTAGCCGTGTTTGGGGTCCCCTGTGGCGGGCACCATGCGGATCCGCGTGGCCCTCGGCGCGCGCGACCCTCGTCGCTCTCCTCAACTCCGGCGGTGAGACGATAACTTCATCTCGGAGGCGGCGCCCGGCGTTCGGCCTTCTCTGCGCGCGGCGCCCGCCTCACCGCCTTGGTCGCGAACGGCGAAGCGCGTCACACCGCGACGGCGTCATCCGCGACGCCCCCCCATCATCGGCGGCGTCGCGTTCCGGCCGACCTCTTCGTCATGCGCATTGGCCGATACGACGTCGTCCTGGGACACGGTGGTGGTGGGGCGCGTGGGCCCATCGTCTGGGACCTCGGCGGCCGGCGCGATGACGTTCAAAGCACCTGGGCGCCAGTCTCTGGATAAAGCGTCGCCGCCCTTCAAGACCTGCCGTCCTGGCGCCACCTCGAGGCCGGCCCTCTCCTCGACGCGCTGCTTGCCGCGCGACGACGGGGCTCTTCGCGGACCCGCGAATGGTTCGCTTCAAACGCGCGCAGACGACCACCGTGATCACCACAAGCCCGGCGCCTAGCCCGTCGCCAGACGGAGCCCTATCGGTACCGGCGGCGCACAAGGACGAGTTGGAGCGGCAGTGCGCCGCTATGATCGAGCAGGGGATCGTCCGCCGCAGCGACTCGCCCTTCTCGTCGCCGGTCCTCCTCGTCAAAAAGCCGGACGGTTCGTGGCGTTTCTGCGTCGACTTCTGGCGCTCAATGCACTCACCGTCAAGGGCGCCTTTCCGATCCCGGTGGTTGACGAAGCTCCTCGGCGAGCTCCATGGCGCTAAGTTCTTCACCAAAAGCTGGACCTCGGTCCGGTACCACCAAAGCGGATGCGGCCGGAAGATGTTCACAAGGCGGCGTTCGCACCCACGATGGCCTCTACGAGTTCCCTGGTGATGGCATTCGGGCTATGCAATGCTAAACAGCGTTCGAGCACGATGAATGACGTATACGAGGCGTTTCTCCGTCGTTTCGTCCTGGTCTTTTTTGATGATATTCTCATCTACAGCAGACATGGGCGAGATCACCCACGTCATCTTGGGCCGTCCCTCGATTTAACTGCGACGCCACCGGCTCTTCGTCAAAGCGCCCAAATGTTCCTTTGGAGCCCCTCGTCGCGCTACCTCGCCATATCATCATCTCGCGTTAGGGGTGGCCATGGACCCGCCAAGGTCAAAGCGATCCACGATTAGCCGGCTCCGCGCTCGGTGCGGGCAGTACGCGGCTTCCTCGGTCTGGCAGGCTACTACCGCAAGTTCGTCCACAGCTACGGGGCACTTGCTGCACCACTGTCGGCGCTCCTCAAGAAGGACGGCTTCTCCTGGGACGACGCGGCAGCCTCGGCGTTCGCGGCTCTCAAAGCCGCCATCACGGCCGCCCGTCCCTCGCCATGCCGGACTTCACAAAGTTGTTCACCGTCGAGCGCGACGCGCGCGTCGGCCGTCGGGTTTGGGGCGGTCTCGACTCAGAAGGCCACCCGTCGCGCTTTCTTCGCCGGCGATGGCGCCCGCCACCGCACTACCGGCCGCCTACGAGAGCGAACTTATCGGCCTCGTCCAGGCCGTACGGCACTGGCGGCCGTATCTCTGGGGGCGCCGCTTCATCGTCAAGACGGACCACTACTGACTGAAGTATCTCCTCGACCGGCGCCCGCCACGATCCTCAAGACCACTGGGTCGGCAAGCTCTTGAAGCTTCGACTTCTCGGTGGAGTACCGCCCGGCGCCACAAACATCGTCGCCGACGCCCTCTCCCGCCGCTACACGAAGAGGGGAGGTCATGGCGATCTCGGCGCCCGCCGACCTCGTCGACCGTCTGCGCCATGCCGATCCCACCGACCCGCCACGGTCGCCTCTACACCGAGGTCCGTGCGGGCGCCCGCGCTGCCCCCTGGGCGCTGGTGGATGGCATGGTCACCTACGACGGCCGCCTCTACATCCCACCCGCGTCGCCGCTACTCCAGGAGGTCGTGGCAGCCGTCCACAACGATGGCCACGAAGGCATCCACCGCACTCTCCATCGACTTGGCGAGATTTCCACTTCCCAACATGCGCCGCGATGCGGGGAGTTCGTGCGAGCTGCCGACCGCCAGCAAGGTACAAGTCGGACCACCTCCGGCCGGCGGGGCTGCTGCAGCCGCTACCATTGCCATCCGCGGTCTGGGCCGACATCGGCATCGACTTCATCGAGGCGCTGCCCAAGGTGCAGGGCAAGACAGTCATCCTCTCCGTGGTGGACCGCTTCAGCAAGTACTGCCACTTCATCCCGTTGGCACATCCCTACACCGCGGAGTCCGTCGCCCAGGCTTTCTTCGCCGACATCGTTCGCCTCCATGGTGTTCCACAGTCCATTGTCTCGGACCGCGATCCGGTGTTTACGTCGGCGTTCTGGCAGGAGCTTATGCGGCTCACCGGGACAAAGCTCTTCATGTCATCCGCCTTCCATCCGCAGACGGACGGACAGACCGAGGCCGCCAACCGCGTCATCGTCATGTACTTGCTTATTTTCTCCGGTGACCGTCGCGCCCGATGGCTTCGTGGTCGCCATGGGCGGAGTACATCTACAACACCGCCTACCGATCCTCTCTCCGCGACACGCCGTTCGGGTGGTCTGGCCGGGATCCCCGACCATTCGCTCCTATGAGCCGGGCGAAACCGGGTGGCGCGGTGGCTCGGGAGATGGAAGAGCGCTTGCTTTCCTCGACGACGTTCGCTTATCGCTGGAAGCGAGCTCAGCGGCCTGAAGCGCATCTCACGACCAGCACCATCGCCGGTGTCCTTCCGTGTCGGTCGGCGACCGGGCTTACGCCGCCGGCGGTATGGCTGGCGGCCTCCTCCCCAACGCGCGCAAAGAGGAAGCTCAAGCCTCGCTATATCGGGCCGTGTCGAGTCCCGGAGTTGATCAACGAGGTGGTTGTCCGCCTCCAAGCGCCCCGAGCACGGCCGCACGACGTGTTCCACATCGGCGTCCTCGGGAAGTTCGTCTTAAGACACCGCCGGCTACCCTCCACCACTACCCCCACTACGGCACGGGGCTGCTGCTTGTTCTGCGACCACCAAGGTCGCCAAGGCCCGGATCGCCCGGCGCGTCGCCATTGCTTTCGTCGAATGGCGTGGCGAGCCACCATCTCGCCGCTACAGGAGGATCTGGATGACTTCGCTCTCGGTTTCGGCGTTTCAGCTCGAGGACGAAATTTGGACTTGAGGCGGGAGAGATGTCATGTAATGAATGACGACGTCACGCAAAGTAGCAGGCAGCGCCAATAACGTGACGCCTGTGCATGGTGAAAGCGCCAGAAGGCCTTGTGATCCACTGACCGAAGGGCAACTTCGATGGCTAGAAATCAGGGATTGGATTAGAGGCTGTTTTGGTTAGTCCTATAATTAGGGGAATTCCTTCCATAGTTGGTTGAGCCATTGGCTATTTATTCCTGTAAGCAGGGAAGAATGAATTAAGCAAGATTAATCTCCTATTCTCTTCTTCCTCCACGCCTCCTAAGCCCAGCCGGTTGAGAGGGGTATAACCTCCGCCCTGGAAGACTCAGCCGGAGACTACGAGCTTCGTAGTCGAGGGCCAGCTACCCTAAACTACAGTGCCCTTGACAACCATCAAATAAACAATAATAACAAATTATCAACAGAAAGTTCATAAATACTCAGAAGACTTCAACAACAAAATTGCAGCCCCACCAAATAAATAATACAACAAAAAAGAATCGAAGGACTCTGCTGGCTACAAAGTAATGTGCCTGATATTCACCTGACCAATCCGATGAGCACGATCTTCAGCTTGAATGATGTCCCCAGGAGTCCATGACAACTCAGCAAAGATTACTGTGCTCGCTGCTGTCAAAGTTATCCCATAGCCTCCGGCTTTGATGGATAACTGGTATGTTATACTCACATTAGATTGTACCCATTAACACTCCAGGAAAATCTATATAACCTGCCCGCATGGTTTGAACATTGGATAATACCATATATGTAGGCTTTATTTGGCAGAGCTGGGTAATTCTAGCTCTAGAAATCTGTGGAGCTAGAGCTGTGGATGCACCTAAGTTGTATGGTTGAACTGTTTTCTTTTATTCTAGACAAAGAAAAAAAAAGACTTTAAGGTCTCGATTTTAGCAAACAAACTTTCAGATTTGAGGTGAAGCTGGGAGCTAGAGCTGTGCCAAACAGGGACTAAATTTTGACTGCCAATTACAAATGTTCGAAAGGAACTACACCAACCTAGGAGGAACTAGGCAGCTTTATAATGAGAAAAAAAATAGGCACCAAAGTTTAGCTTGCCGAGGACTCAAACTTGAGGTGGCCTGGGTGTACATCCACACCCTCAACCAACAGAGCTAATTGTCAGTTCATTAACCACATAGTTTTTCGAACCTTCATCAGAACACTTCTCTGTATCCAAGGAGTCAACCTCCCACGCCCAACTGGCCTCTCCCACAGCCACAGTGAGCACACTGCCGTCTCAACCGTCAGTCCAGCATCCTCCCCAGCGACCCCTTCTAAGCCCAGAAACCATGGAACCCCCCGGGAACCCCGAACCCTAACACCAGCGAACTCCGTCTCTGGCGGCAGCAGGTGAGTTTTTTCTCTATTTATTTCTTTGATGTTTGTGTGCATCCCCAAATGCTAAATATGCACACGCAGTAATAAGTGTTAGGCAGATAGATTAGTTTATGGGCCTAGTGTCTTTAGTGTTTACATTAAAGTATTTTTGTGACTTTCAGCTGTATTGTGGGGGTGGGTGGGTGGGTGGGTGGGGGGGGGGGGTACAAAATAGAATATGAATAAGTAAAAAACATACCACTGCTGCCTTGATGTCATCGTTCTCTTGGAAATTTGTGACTAAGGTTTGTCTTGTAGTTAAAGGTGTCTTGCCATCAATTTTGATACACTTTACTTTCTTCTTCTGAAACATGGTGGCAAATAATAGGTCCATGTGTAGCATAAACGAGTAAAACATCAAATACATTATTAGATTCTTACCAAAAGATGTTGCTCAATGGCATCAATCATGGGTTGGTGATGAGCAAATATTAAGAACTTGCAACCTGCCTGGATGTAGATGGTAAAGCAAAGAATTTAGATATTGCTTGTAAAGACAAAAATATGTTTGTAAGTTTTTGTACCATATTTAATGAGAATAATGGGCCAACAGACCATTGTCATTTATGTGATAAAAAAGGAATTTGAGGGCCAGTTCATAGAAGGATGGCCCATTCCTGGCAGCGCAACATTATTGTAACCTCCCAAAACAACTTTGAGATCTAACTAAAGTTGAATCGAGTTGGTTTTTATAAAACATCCGTAGTGGAATCTGTAAACAATGTGTGTGTGTGTGTGTGGGGGGGGGGGGGGTATGTTTATTGATGCAATGATACAACAAAATCAAGTTGGCTTAAGAAGAATTTGAATAGGAGGGATATTGTTTCTTTTTTCAAATTATACACTGTCAAAATGTGATCCCCAATGAAAGAAATGGGACACAGGAGAATTGTGAGGGCCATGTATAGGTCAGTGGCAATTGGTGATAACTCGACAGCATTATCAGCTTCAGCAAGTGAAAATACAATCCTCATTTGGAATAATGAACCTGCACTAACTAGCACATTCCAGCACAAGGGTAGAATAAAAGGGTAATTTGACAAATATCAACAGCAACAACAACATAGCCTTTCAGTCCCAAGCAGGTATAATACCAACCAAGTGTATATAGGTAATTTGACAAATATATAGAATTATAATATCAGGTTATCACCTCAATTGTAGTACCCAGGAAATCCAACACAGCTGGAATTTTGGCTACAGCTGAATCAGTATAGATCTGTGATTAGGAAAAATAGAATCATACTTCCAGACAAGCACAAATACAGACTAATCACAGTAAGCTAAATGACAGAAAAATGAATAACATGAATCAATATTCAAACCAAGTGCAAATAACAAAAGTTGAATATGATGATATAGAAAGGAATATGCTCCTGATTTCAATGTTGAGCTTCACCACAATACCACATAGAAGAGCGGAAAAGAAAGACGACGAAATTGACATGGATATTCCAATGAACAAATAACCTCTCCAAAGATTTTAGAACTACAATTTGGAATTACTAAATTGGCTAATTCAGTTACATGCCACAAGCCAACAGAACCTTGAACTGGAAAGATGCAGAATTTATAACTTTTATAACTAAAAGTCACTACACATGCCAAGATAAGGGTACCTCAAAAATGGTAAGAATACACTTCAGCTTTAGCAGAGTTACATGTCTTGGTTTATAGTTAGTAACTAAGAAAGTAAAATACTTAGAAAATAATACCAACCAAGTGTATATAGGATCATAAAGGGGTGCACTTTCAGATTACCTTATTGACAATATTCTGGTAAGCAAATCTGAGAGAGTCGATCATCTCTTTGGAGTCAGAGGAGTCAATTTTGATCTTCAAAGTCTCCAACTAACAAAATGCACACCATTTCAGAATTATTTAAAGTAAAATTGTAACTTCAATGGTTGTGCTGATGCATTCATGCAGAGGTACAGCAAGAAAACTAAGTGCAATACATACTTTCCCTCTGTTTGAGTTTATATAAAAAATGAAGATTAGACTTTTCAAAAGCACCATAGCAACTTGCAAAGGAAAAATTCCAACAATAACTTTACTTTCTAGAACAATGTGAGAACAAATAACTAGTTAGCTTTCACAATTTGTACCTTTTGATTAGTTAAATTACAGTCATATAACTCACTGCTGATTAAACCAGTACGCCATGTGAAAGTTCTTCACTGGTGCAAACAATTACATACGATACCATATAATGTGGTTATATGAAATGCAGATAGGTTTAGCTACCTAAAACTGGTTGTGTTCTCATATTCTACAATATATGATTTGCAGGCAAAGAATAAAATGGATAATACCTCAATAAACAGAGCGCGGACATTTTTCACATCTTTCTCACTTAAATCTAGAAAGACCTGAAAGGTTGACGAAAATTAAATGATTAAGCATAGATCTGTATGTAGTCAAGAAAAATATCAGTATAACAGGAACTAAGCTCACATAAAAGCTACATCCTAAAGGTTATCTTACTGACTCACTGTGAAAGATCGTCAAAAAGAATCAACAGATCTTCTCAATGTTACAGTTTAAGCATTGCAAAGAAACAAGCATATAGCCAACATAGAAAGGTTCAGAAAACAATTACGAATGAGGCACTGATTCGAAAGGTCTATGCTAGTGATCAAAGGACCTTTAACTGTTGATTTAAACAAAATTCAAATTTACTACAGACAGATTCTCAGATTTGAACTGATCGAATGTTTCTAATTTACAGAATAAAATTAATGTATATTTCTTATGTTGATTATAAAAAAACCCACAAGGCTACCTGTTGTCTACGTTTAACAGGCAACTGTGAAAGGACATCTTTCTTCAACCTACGGATCATGACAGTTGCTTTCATCAAATTATGCAGCTCCTCGTGATTGCTAGCACCTTGATACAACCCGAAAAAACCCTGCAAAGTCATGTCGTAATTAGTCACAATTGGCAACAGAAAATGAAGAAAGCAATTTGATAAATCTAGTACTTACACCCTTGCAATATCTATTGCCATACTCATTAACATTCTTGTACACTGTAGGATACAAGGCCTGGATCTGGATATACAGAAAAGGTAGTTGTCACTCTACTTTTGAGCATTAAATATATGCAGCTAACTATGGAAACAAAATTTACCTGAGTAAAGAGCTCAATCGGGCGAGACAAAGCAGGAGTTCCACTAAGCAAAACAACATATTGAGCTTTCTGTGATTGTAAGTCACAATTAGTTGGTTCTGCAAATTCATGCATCCATTGGGTAGAAGATATCATTGGTCACCTATTCAGGCAGTAACAAGATGTTTCCTAAAGCAAGAATAATGGACTCAAAAAAAAAAAAAACTTTGGCCTTCAGAAACCAGGACCTAACAAGAGCACAAGACTATCTGGAAAAATTCATCACAATCAGACCAGCACCATGCAGTCCTCTGTGAAAGTTTGGAACTTCTGTTTGCTAGAAAAATATATGAAATTAGTGGGCAAGTATCCCAACATGTGTTATGAGCAGTTGTAATGTTGTATTGTTCAGGTGAAATTGTGAATCATATTGCACGGTGCTGTAGTAACACTCCCAGGTTAGTTGGTTATTGTTTAACTAATAGATAAGCTGCTCGAGAGTTAGAGAAATGTTTGTCAGGGATAAGAGATAAAGACAAGATCTGGTTTAGAGATTTTATTAGGAGACAACCATACAGTAGATGAGGGATGGTGGTCTGCTGTTATAAGTAAAGAATGAATTAGACTTTTTGAGACCTTTTTCGTTCAAAAAGAAACTTTTTGAGACCTAAATTCTAAACCACCCTAGTCTGGTATGTGGTATCACCCTGGCTCACCCATCCTAAAGCCCACCTTCAGTAGTCACCGTTCAGCCCTCTTCAGTGTGGTCTTTACACTAATGATCTAAGAATCACGAATTTTGTTTTGATGAGGTGTAGTACCTTACCAATTGTTAGGTTTCATGCACAAACCAGATGAACCCAATAGCTTAAGCCATTGGGAAGAGTGGGCAATCCACATATACTTCACAACACTCCCACTCACGTGCAGCCACATACAAGGCACAAACGTGGAAATAAAGGAGCGGAGGACTTAAATGACGCCTCTGCCAGGACTCGAACTCGAGACCTCTGGCTTTGATACCATGTTAGGTTTCATGCACCAACCAAATGAACCCAAAAGCTTAAGCCATTGGGAAGAGGTGGGCAATCCACATATACTTCACAACACCAATATCTGCTGGTCCAAATTAGGGCACATAATATTTATGCTCACAAAGAAAAAAGTGTTTTCCACATAAGAAGCACCAAACCTGCAAAACAGGAAGTGAAGCAATCGTTCTCTTCGCTTGGCCATTCTTCATAAAATGTGATTCATCAGCTATAACAATCTGGATGAAAAATCATTTAAAAGAGGTTATAGATAGATTATGCATACAACTATTTGGTGGTTAAATTCATTGCAATCAGAAGACGAATAGTTGTTACATTCATGCAAAATGGAAGATGTCAGCACATCATTGTATTTCTAAAAAGTCAGAAATTTTCTATGAAATGTAGTTGATCCTTTTTTCTGAAGGTTTAGTTGAAATCTTATTTCTTCAGGTGCAATCAAGTGATAAGTCAATCCCCCAAGTATCTGTAATTTCAATAACTAGCTATACTAATCCACCCTGCAAAGACAGCAGCAGTACTCTTAATATAGAAATAATGCTTAAGACACACCCAAAAAAAAAAATCACTCCGTCCAGTGCTGAAATCAAGTTCCACAAAAGAAAGCTCCAGTCAAAGCCAAGCAATCTCTAATCTACATGCAAACTCTTGTTTATCTACTCGAGTTTGATGCTCCTATACTACCACAAATTTAAGATTATGCTCCGCAACAAATATCCATTCAGGTGTAAAATCAATCTTCTGGAGATGTAGTGAACATAGTATGCTTCAAAATGACTTGTTCAACAGGAAAAGTGTGCTATTGTGTTTGCATTAAATAGCTAGATATTGAACAAAACCTACGAAATGAGGAATAAATTATCGAAAACACAATTCCCCAAATTCAAGTTCAAATGAAATGAACAGCAACAACAAAGTGTTTTAGTCCCAAGCAAGTCAGGGTATATACTAGAGATGAAACCCTAACAAAAGGTAAGAGGATAAAAAAGAGAGATAGTAGTGATAGTAGTAACAATAGTAGTATAAAGGGGACCAGTAGCTCACACCATGTTTCTGGCATGTGGATTGCTAATATCTACACAATCCTATCCAAAAAATAGTTCTTTGGGCATATTCTGTTCTCCATTTCTCCTTAAACGGAATGAAGTATAAGACAAAAATTCTACCTTGAAATCCAAATCCAGAAGTGTGCTTTGTATCTTGGGAACTACATCATAAGATATGACGTTGAACACCCCATCCAAGTGAAAATCTCCTTTAGTGTTTGAGTAAACCACTCTGAATCCTGCTTTATGTGATCCTCCAGTATGTGGCAATACCACCTAAAGGACAACGATCCATGTTCATCAGCATAATGAAATATATTTTTTCTATTTCATGCTCAGGACTTGTTGAACTATGTGATTTACTTGCATATCAAGTTTCCTGTATACATACGATAATCACGGGTACATCAGTTTCCAAATAGAACTTTATGCAGGTTAGCCAGGAATTGCAAAACTTTTCCTATGGTTTCTTTCTTTCTTCATTGTGTTATATTCTACTACAATCATCATGATACTAGTAAATAAATGGATAATTTGCTTCTAGAGAAAGAATTCACAAAATACATAATGGAACAAACTTTTTGTGGGAGAACTAGTGAATGAAATGTTTAAGGATATACCAAGATATCTTCCATAGGGATGTTAAGCCAGCTCTGAATCGCCTGTTAAAATAGTAAGTTATCAAGTTTAGACCTTCCTTTGTGCAACTACTGCTAAAATGAAAAATTGACAGCTCGTAAAAAAAGAGGTGCTCACAGTTGCCCAATGTAACCGCAAAGAAGATGGAGAGATTACAAGGACTGGCCAGGCATCACGAAGGCAAGAAGCAACAACAATTGCCTGCATAGGAAATTAGGAACTAAATTAGTACCTTCCATCAAATTACATAAGGTATCAATGAGCAGTCCCAAAAATCACGATTCATGAGTCAATAACACAAGTCAATATACCATCATTTGAGTCCGGTCAGCGTGAAACACTAGATGTAAATCTATCAAACTTTTAATAATGCACTTTAGTTGGTCCATCTGCAGTGCAAGAGCTGGAATCAAGTGTGCAAATTGCGTTTGGTTGCCTGTGCAGTGCAGCTTAACCATGTTTGGTTGCCCACAGAGGACCTTATGCAAGATTGCACAATGCCAAAAGCAGGGCCAATCAAGCATCAGCTACTATACCAGATTTGGTTGTATTAGGCAATGCATGCTTACAAAAGCCAATAGATCTCATAAAAATGGAACCTCCTCACCTCCCCCACCTCTATTAGAACATAGAGGTGACCATATTAAACACAATGTAAGAAAGCAAACACAATCTTACTAAACTCAGCTTGCATGTGTAGGACAACCAAACATTAACATGTTGCATACGTTTATGTTGGCTTTGAGTTGTGCTACATAAGGTCTAATGCAGGCTAAGGCTAGTGCAAGCAACCAATCACACCCATAGTAACTATTTCAATGCAAGCCAATCAGGTCATGAATGCAAAAAATTTGGAAGGCATATGATTCACAGACAATGTTTTACCTGTACTGTCTTTCCAAGACCCATTTCATCTGCAATCAGGGCTCTGCCACCATGCTGTAAAACAAACCTACAATTATGAAAAGCATATATGTTAGGCTTATACAATAATTCAAAGTACATTCTTAGGTTCCTAGGTTCCTGGCTTATGGTTAACATACTACTCCCTCCATGTCCCTAAAAAAAGTCGTTTTGGACATCGACACGGTCTCCAAAAACAACTTTGACTGCTACTTTTTGTTATAAAATATTTATAAAATATAGTCAATCTATACTTTTATAAAACTACATTTCGAGACGAATCTACTTACATCACTTTTATATTTTCAAACTCAACCCAAAAGAATTTATTTGTAGTCAAAGTTTAAAGTGTTTGACTTAATACAACCTCAAAACGACTTTTTTTAGGAACATAGTGGGAGTACCGAGCTTAGGATTCGGCATCTAATATGATGGCTAGTTGTGTGCCAAACCAAACAATCAAGAGTAACAAAAAGTTTGTTTGTTTATAGTATGACTATGACTATATGAGCCAGTATGTCATTGTTCAAGTACAGCACAAAAATGTAATGGCGTAATGCACTTGATGCAAGTTGAACATCATGATGATCTAACTTTTCATTAAAGAATAATTTCAGGGTCACTAAGCTCAACATTATGCAAAGCATGCCAATGTCAGATTGACTTTCACCATTATACACAAAACAGAGTTGCAGAAATGTTGAATCACCATACCTGATGCCTTCACGCTGAAATGGCATAAGCTGTGACTCGAGATTAGGGGGGATCCTGTCATACAAACCTTCCCCAAGAAAAATGTGATCAGCACGGCACGCAAAAAGTCATGTCTAAAATTCAAATGTAAAATTTTATTATTTCACATGGATCACTTTGATTCACATTATGATGTTTCATATGAAAATATTTAAATTTCCAATATTTTTGCTATTTATTTCAAGTGGATACTAAAGAAAGCAAGACCGTTTATATCCAACAACACTTCGGTAACAAGTGGGTGCAAAATTTACTATGTCTATCCATTATCTTAGCATCAGGTGAACGTAAATTTCATAAGCACAAAGTGGAAACTTTAAGATACCTCGAAGATCTTTGGATCGTAAAGCAGCAGCTAAAGCACGCTGAACTAGCGGATCCAATTTGTGAACCTGCTAGGGAAGTACATACTACGTGATCAGAATGAATACATGCTCAAAAGTCAAAACTGTTGGATAAGTAATTTGTTTTCTTGAGTAAAAAGGCAATTTGGTTTTGACTACTGAAGCACATGCACAGCAACAGCTGGGAGGAGCTGCTACTGTCCTCTAGAGGCTTCATTTTAACTGCTTCAGTAGTAGTAGAATCAGCAGGGGCGAGTTGGTTTTGTGTACAGAGTATGTACTAACTAGAACATAGTTATTGCTAGCTGTATGTATGATATGTACTCTCACTGTAGCAGGCCGGTTACTGTAGCAGGCCGCCCTAAAGCATATGCAATGAGGGTACTACCTCATGTACATGTAGCCTTTGTGAGTTTGAATAAAAGAACAATAGTATCTCCATTGGTTCCTCTCCTATCATCATTTTCCTTCCCATACTAGTTAGTTAGGGCTATCAAAAACTACTCTGCACAGGACAGAAATTTCCAGATAGGTCATGTTTGAAGTCTTGAAAGTTTACTATAATATGGAAGATGGCACAACTTGTGTCTCTCTGAGTTTTTTGTCACAAGCTGAAAACACAAGGTTTGCAAACTTCCTCGCATAAATTGAGAAGAAGAAAAACAAAGAGGCCTCCTACACAAAATGGACTTGTAGGACAGCTGCTTGCTAACTTCATGAGTTCGCTTTTTAAGTGTTACTTTGAATTCGTTTAAGTTTAACTAGTTAACATGCAAATGATGCAGAAATTGAGTACTTAAGTATGAACAGCATATAGGTCAACCAACTAAGCAAGAAAGCAATAAAAATAAATAATCAGAACTTCAGAAGAACATTACTGCAATGGGAAATGGGATTACAGATGATAACTGTTACCTCCACAGCTAATCCAGGTACTGAACGAGGAAAATCCTCTACTATTGCTAAAGACGAGGGAGGAAACATCCATACCCTGTTGTTTTGGATTTTAAGTAAAAGAACAATTAGAACAGATAGTGAATTTTACAGCAGACATCAAGTTTTTCCATGTTACAGAAAATATACGGTGATCATGAAAATTAAAAGAATGTGTAAACTGTAAAGAAACCTTTCTTTAGCATTCCAACTGGCTTTTGGTGTCTTCCGAAATGCATCAACAAGTAACTGAGCAATAAACAGAATCAAGCAGATTATAGTTTCATATAATTCAGTGACACGTGATTCAAGATTTGTTGTGGGGATATACCTGGTTGTATTGGAATCTTGCAGCGATCATCCCGCTAGAATGGAGGAAAATATGAACAGATATCTTAGGTGAACTGCCCTGGCTATTATTCACTTGAATGACAAGTGAAAGCAAAGGATAAATAAACTTAAGCACCAGCCCATATTAGAACAAACTATGAAAGGACCTATAATGTTATCTACCTGAATTTCTCGAGGGAGAAAGTGCTTCTACCTGAGAATGGAAAAAGATAGGGATTGCGCTTATTAGCAAAGTTAGTTACAAATATAAAAGAAACTAAGATTTACAGCAGCAAAAGCCCTCTATGCCTAACTGATTAACTATTACTAAAACAATGATCTTCTCTACACCAAGCTATTAATTATCCAGCCAGAACATCAATTTTATTTCAACAAGAGAAAAAGTTCCTACACTTTTGATTTTCAAACTTGCACACTAAAATGAAGGAGAGATACTAGGGGAAAAACACCCTTGAAGCAAAGATGAAGAAAACAAATAACAATCCAATACCAAGATTTAGCTTATTAACACAAACTCTGGTGGTACTTGAACCACAAACCTCCCGACCTTTCAACAAATTGACCATAAAGAGGTATTGAGCACGAAACGATGAGCTTAGAGAACACGCCAAAATTCGCCATTTCTTCAAACAGGAAACCCAGTTGTCCAAAGAACTCAGTTGCATAGAATGACTCGATGAGAACGCTCTCAAGATTACCACCACATTTGTATATATGCAGCATTGACCTAAATTCGTATTACATTTTGAACCGTTTTATGAACCCATGAGTTCTCCGACAACAACCCCTCTATTTCTTTGATAGGGGAAAATCGCTACAGAATACAAAGAGCTTGGTAATAAAAGAAAAGAATTCCGATCTTTCAAAAAGAAAAAGGAGAAGAATTTCCAAATGCGTTAACCATAAATTCAATATCCGACAACCGAGTCAATCCCCAGTGCGCCAACAAGAAACCCCCAAAACAGCAACGGAGCGGAGAAAACCCTAACCGTGCCGAAGCGGGCCTCCAGAGAGGCCCTGGCAGCGGGGTGGTTGCCCCCGAGCGGCGACGAGACGGCCGCCGCCGGCGCGGTGGCGCGGGAGGGGAGCGGCGAGGTGGCCCCGAGAGGGGAGGCGGGGACGGGGGCGGTGGAGGCCGCGGAGGCGGAGGCCTTCCGCTCGGCGAGCTGGCGGATGGCGTCCCGCTCCATCTGGTCCAGCTGCTCCGCGCTGAGGCCCCAGTCGTCGTCGTCGTAGTAGCCGCCCCAGCCTCCGCCGCCGCCGCCGCCCGCCATTTTTGGCGCGCGTTTTGATCGAGGCGAGTGTTTTTGAGGCCTGAGGGGGAAAGGGAGACGAGGCCTCTCTGCTCAAGGCTCAAGCAGCGAGGTGCTCTAATGGCTGGCTGATCGCTGCGGAGTCGGGTCAGTTCGGCGCCGTTGGGCTCGCAGAAATTGCAGGACTGCACGCATGATTCTGCTGACCTATGTTTTCACACGATCAGCCTGTTCGCTTGTAGATTATAAGCCAGATCACTATTTTTCTCTCACATCAAATTAGCCAGCAGTAAATACTCCACGATTGTTTATGGCCTGGCTAACATGCTTTATGTAGAAACTAAAAGAGAAGCTAAATAATAGGTTTGGTTTAGAGATTAAAAGAGACTAAAATGCATTAAAACCACTAAACAAAGATCAAAACGTCTCTCTCTTCTATTCTCTTTCTCTCTCTCCTTCCTCTGGTCCACAGTGCCGAATTCCTCGTCGTCGCTGCCGTCCTCAGCCCTTGAGTCTGCAGGAGCTAAGCACCGCCCCTGTGCCCCTGCTCTCTCAACCTCACCCTTCTCTACTGTCACCGCGTCGCAGGAGCACCGAGGCTACCGCCGCCCTCACTCTGCTGGCAGCGGATCTGGCCGGAGGGGAGGAGCGCGGCCGGCGTGGGGTGCGGCGCCAGCGAGGTGGGGCGCGGCAGGAAGCTGGCGACGGATCTGGTCGGACGGGAGGAGGGAGGCGGGTGCGGCACATCGGGCGACGTGGGGTGGGGCGACACATCGAGCATGAGAGGAGAGAGACTGTGAGGGAGGAGAGAGAGGGAGGGGTATGGGTTGTAAAGTTGGTCCCATAAGTCTCAATAAACCTCACCCCAAGGGACTTCTATTCATTAGTCTCTAGTCCCTGTTTAGTCCCTCCTGTTTGGTTCAAAGGGACTAAAATATACCAAAATTTAGTCTATATATAAGGGTAATTATGGAGTATCGTCTTTCTCGACCGGCAATTTAAAATATTCTATTCTATATTTTTACAATATATTTATTCGGAATCATAAATATTAATAAATATTTTTCTATAAAACCTGACAAATTTTAGATAGTGTGACTTACCAAATCTATAAAATGCATTCTTTGGAGATGGTGAAAGGTCCTTGTGTGGTTTTGGTAATTGAGTGACAACCTAGGTGGACTAATTGTGTTTATGTGAGATACACAGGTGATTAGTCCATAGGTACATATGTGTGAGCAACATATGTCATGAAGGTGAAAATGGCTCGGAGATGTTGCAAAGCTCACATATGTGATGATAAAGGAGCTCACTGCACATGGGACATGACATTGAGTCGTGTGATCAAGGTGGAGAAGATCAAGACATGACTTGGATTGATAGACCGGTTGCAAACGTGAAAGGCAAGTTGGAGGCTTTAGAGAGATAGATCGCGAGGCGGTGAAGCTTGAGCAAGATTTGGTACCGATGAACGAAGGCAACGGTGAAAAGCAAGTAGAATCAAGATCGATGAACCAATATGATCACGTGATGGTATGAAGTGGATCATATCATTGTTGATCGTGTTGGTGCATGTGTTACATCGACATTGGAGGAGATGGAATAGAATACGCAAGACAAAGGTATAACCTAGGGCATTTCATTTCACCGGTCATAGGTGTGTAGAGAAGTTGATGACCGGGTTTAGGATAGATAGCCGTACTATCAAGAGAGACAAACTTATTTGCATATCGGTCATCTAGTGACACTTAAGTGATCTAACTTTGCATCGTCGCTAGGATCGAGTGGTGTGGCAAGTTGAGTGGCTAATCCTTTGAAAAATAATTATGAAAATGCTAACACACATACACATAGTGGTGTACACTTGGTGGTGTTGGCATATTTACAAAGGAGAAGAAGTTAGAGTTGATGTGGATCAACTCGGTGAAGAAACAGAGACGAAAGGATGTCACTGTGAGTGATCGGACGCTGGTCTCAACTGGATCAGTGCGTCCAGTCAGTGGCAGCAGTGAAGGCGCAGGCGTCGGTCTTTGACTGGACGCGTGGTGGGTGCGTCTGGTCCCGCTGATGTGGCGGCGCAGTGTAGAGGAGAAGGACTGGACGCTGATGCTGCGTCTGATCGTGACCTGCCAGATGCGTCCGGTCGTAGTTGAGCAGCTCTGGCAGCTCTCTGGACTCGACCGGACGCTGCCCCTCCTATGTCCAGTCATGATCGAACTGACGCGTCCGGTTGTCATTTGGCTCTCTCAGGACCTCTCTAGAAACGATCGGACTCGACAGAGGTACGTCCGGTCTTAGCGCTGTGCTGTGTCCGGTCATCACTTGACCGTTGGCGCGTGGCAACTGACCGTTGAGATCAAGCGACTGAGGTTGAACGGAGATGACGCGTGACGTGCATCCGTTGACCGGACGTTGGACCGGGTGCGTCCGGTCACCCCGAGCAGTGCCCAGTGAAGGGGTACAACGGCTCTATTTTCGTGGGGGCTATAAATAGAAGTGGTGGCCGGCCTTGGACTGGTAAGGGGAGCACACTAGAGCCTTGGTGGCTTATGTGGTAGTGCTTGGAAGCCTTCCAACTCACTTGAGCTTGATAGTGATCATCCGATCGAGTAAGTGAGCAATTCTAGTGCGATTACATCGTGAGGTTGCATCGAGTGGCACTAGATGTTCGAGTTGTAAGCCGGTGGTGCTTGTTACTCTTGGAGGTTGCCACCTCCTAGACGGCTTGGTGGTGGTCTCCGTCGAAGCCCGCAAGAAGCTTTGTGCGGTGCTCCGGAGAAAAGCTTTTGTGAGGGGGATTATACTCACCCTGCGGGAGCCGCGAAGAGCAACTCTAGTTGAGCATGTCATTAAGCTACCCTCACTTTTGGGGTAGGTTCTTGCGGTGCCCGACGTGCAGGCTTGGCGGGTGATGCCAATTAGCCACCGAACCACCAAGTGAGCGATCGACACAACGGGGACGTAGCGTGTTGGTAAGCACATGAAACTCGAGAGAAAAATCACCGTGTCAATATTGTTCTTCCCGTTGGTTTGTAATCCCCTTACACAAGCTTATAATTACTCCCATATACATTATGCTTGTGTAGTTACTCTTGTAATTAGTTACCTTGTGTAGCTCACTAGTTACCTTCTTGCTTATGTAGCATAGAAGTAGCTCTCTTGCGTGGTTAATTTGGTTTGTGTAACCTTGTTAGTCATATTGCTTAGTTTGTGTAGCTAAGTATTTGCGCTATCTAATTTGACATTGGTTGTCTTGTTATTGAGCATTGCTAGTGAGCTTAGGTGGCTTTGTGCTTTTGCTTATTAGCATGTGTAGGAGCTCCCTCGTTGTTTGAAGTACTAGTGGCATAGGTGTGTGTGATCTTACTTCTAGAATTGGTAAGGTGGGCTCTAGCTAGCCCGACACCTTAGTTGCTTAATTAGGATCTTTGTAAGGTGCTAGAGAACATAGATAGAGGGTGTAGTCTTGGCTAGACCGATAGTTTTAATTCCGCACTTATTTCGGTTAGTCGACGCGATTAATTTTAGAAAGGACTATTCACTCCCCCTTTAGTCCGCCATCTCGACCTTTCAAGTGGTATCAGAGCGAGGTCTCTCATTTGTGGTCTTTACCGACCCAAGAGGATGGCGAACTTTGGGCTAGATGTTGTTTGTGACACACATTTTTGATGGCACACACTTTGCACGGTGAAAACGTCATATGCTTGATCATTTTTGTGATTTGGGTCCCAAGGCATGGTGGATCATTGTTGTTGGTTTTTCTCGTGATGCTTTGGATAAGGACAACCTAACCCAAGCACAAGAGGATTGCTTACAACTTGATACACGTGCTCTTTATTATCTAACGTGTATTTTACATGATGATATTTTTAGACGTGTGTGGGATTTGGAGAGTGCTCATGATATGCGGATGGTACTCCAAGCCTTCTACGATGACTCCTCCACAAATGATAATGGCAAAATCAAGAAGGAGGATGATCACAAGGTGGAGGCACATGAGTGTGTTGAGCATAACCATAATTTGATGATTGTGGAAGATTGGTCCACCTCATGGTCAAATGATGATGATGATGTTACCATAAAATCACTTGACAAGATTGATGGTGATGCCTCAAGTGATGCACATGATGATCCTACCCCATACACACTTGATGGTGATGATGGTTCATGCTCAAGCCATGATTGTGATGCTACCACGAGCCCATCCACTACACCACATTGCTTCATGTCATAAGGTGACACCAAGGTATCAAATGCTAATGTGGTTGATCATGTTGATTCATATGATGAGCTTGTTAGTAGACTTGCTAGCATAATCATGTCTTTAGAAAATGAGAAAGCTAAAACATTAAAATTGGAAAATAAAAACTCATTTCTAAAGAACTCTTGTAAAGAACATAAGAAATTACTTGATGTTCTTAAATCTTTACATTGTGAGCTAAAATTGAATCATGAGAGACTACTTGCATCTCATGAAGAGTTATTAGAACAATATGCTTCTCTCATTAAAGTGTTTACAAAGAAACTTAAAAATAATGAGAGCTCATCACATGGATCAAATGATAAATTGCAAAATGTTGCTAACCCTTGTGATGTAAGCAAAAAGCATGTATCTACCTCTTGTGATGATTTATTAGATATGACATGCTCTTCACATATAGATGCTTGTTCTACTTTTATGTCTTGTGAGACTAACCTTTTAAAGGAGAACAATGAGCTCAAAAATGAAGTGAAGAATTTGAGCAGCAAGTTAGAGAGGTGCTACAACTCAAAAGTCACCTTTGAGCACATGTTAAAGACTCAAAGAAACTATGGTGATAAGTGTGGCTTTGGCTTCAAGAAAAAGATAACAAAGGGCAAAAGAAAGAGAGAAAGAAAGATGAAGAAGCTACAACAAAGAAAGCTCTCTCATACCATGTGCTACCGGTGTCATGAAGCGGGGCACCTTCAAATGGTTGCCCTAGCATTGAGAAGCTCAAGAAGATAAAAGAAAATGAGAGGCTCAAGCATGTGAAGTGCTT